TATTTGATGAGCTTACTCGAGCAGTTATTCGTCTACTTGATATCTATCTCTGAATAAGATTTGTTTTAAAATCACACGCTAAATAAGTTTTAATAATTAATATCTAGGATTAATAGAATGAGAATTAATCTAAATTTTGAGCAGAAACTTAGTTTAATTTTATTAATTAAAAATTATGCAAAGTATGCAGCTATTTAACCAATAAATCACATTTAAATTGAGATCACTTCCATATTAATCAAAAGTTTTTTGCCGGAAAAATTTGTTCAAATAGTCTTAACTTCAATACTGAGATTTTTTAAGTACAAAATTATTTGTGAATTTTCGTCAAAAGATTTTCACGTCAATACGCGTCAAAAAAGTGTTAAGTTGAATTGAGTTTTAATTCAAGTTGTCGTTTAAAAAAATTTTTTTTTTAGGAATAAATAATGAAAATTAGCACTTTGAGTATTTGTTTAATAATCGAAAAAGATTAAAAATTTGATATCAATTGAACTAATTCTGTCACTTTTCAGAATAAATCGGCAAATATTCAAAAAGCAAACAGTATGGAACGTTTTTCGAATTCAACAAAAACTGTACTTCCTCCATCAGTTGTTCACAGTTCTGACGGCAGAAATTATGATCGTAACGAGTTGGATGTGGATGGATTATTCGATACAATCACAAAGTATGTAAAATTAATTCAGACAAAAAGGTAATATTTTAATAATAAGTGATTTATTGGTTAAATAGCTGCATACTTTGCATAATTTTTAATTAATAAAATTAAACTAAGTTTCTGCTCAAAATTTAGATTAATTCTCATTCTATTAATCCTTATTACTGTAAGAAAGACAGTAATTTACTACCATAATGTTTGATAATATTTTTTGTGCATTTTTTGTTAAATTGAAATGACTGTCACATACTATAAATGTAATAAAAGTAACTTTCATTGCATTTCTGATATAAACAATTTTGAATCATTTCAGATTTTATAAAAAAGTGCTTTTGCAATTGAAAAGTTATTTTTTCCATTTTCTGAGCAAATATTCGCAAAACTTTAAACAAATTCACCTATTTTTGGCTGTAAAGCAAGAAGAGTACACAAGCATACATTTCTGTAAAAATAGATTTGAAAGCACTTTTCTGGCAGCTATTTTATATTTAAATTGTTGAAAGGAATACTTTATGAATTTGCTCATATTTTTTAATCAGTTTTCAAATTACTATCAATTGAATCGAAAGTAAAAGTTGAACATTGTTTTGTGTAAGTATTTGAATACAAGCGCAAATATTGGAATTAAAGTTAATTATTTCCATTTTGAGTAAATATTATCAAAACTTGTAAGTTAGCAAATTCAT